AATTAATAGAAATACTCCGTAAAATATCTTTATATGTAAATTGTAATTTGCATGGAGTTTTCAGGGAATTAGATGTTTTTTTTTTTAAATATTCATCATTTTGCCCCATCTGTTTGCCCCCTGGCATTTTATGACTGCTCACAATCACCATTTTTTTTATATGGGGAATAGCCCACCCGGGCACAGTTCATCGAACCACAATGAGGCCTAGGGGACGAAAAAATAAGAGTAAAAAGAAATTAAAAATAGAAAAGAAGGTGCCAGAAAACCAGGTTTTTGAAGTGACAGATTGTATGAGTATGGAAACATAGAAGAAGGCAGAGCATTCCACAGTTTGGCTGTGTGAGGAAAGAAGGATGTACTATAACGGGTTATTCTAGTGTGACCAACATCTACACAGAAACGGTGGGCACCGCGGGCAAGACGAGTGTTACGAGCCCTCGGCCTTGCTGGCGGTACACAGGATGAGAAAAACAACCGAAACATACATTGCCCGTTAAAGTACAGTAGAACGTCGATATAACATGAGATACCTTTCAAGAGAGGTCGCTTTAAACCGAATTCGCACTAAATTGAAGTGTTGTTTCAATGGAATAATTTAGTTTGGTACTTGAGAGAGAGAAAATACTGAAAACGCTAAGAATCTACCCAGATGCACCTAAGCCCATCTCTTAGAATAAACAAAACATTGTTTTTGGTAGAATTATGTTAAAACAAGCACTCATAAATCAACACAGTTAAAATTATGGGACGTGAAATGATCAGTTTACTAGTGATCAGCTGATTGGAAGATTTTTTTTTTGGGGGGTGACATGTTTGACAGTTGGCGCCGAAGGTCTAGTGAAGTATTTATTTGTTTATTTATGTCCTTTAGATTGAGTTTTTGTTTTTTGTTTATAAAATGTCACAGAAGTGACCAGGGAGAATTTAATTTACATTGCTGGAATTTTTATAAGATAGTGATTAATTTGAATATACAGTAATCATGCTATAGTTTGCACAAGACAAAAATTTTAGTAATCATTTAGTACATTATTTTGAGTACATGTACAGTACAGCTTTGCCCTTAGGACAGTGTAGTGTGCCCAGAGAAACATTAGGCGCGAATTTTAAAATATAATGCGCCAGATTGATGCGCAAAATAGGAAAGATTCGCTTTAAATTAAAACATTGTCCTTAATTGTGGGTGTCGCTTTAAATCAATAATCTTAAATTGAATCGCTTTAAATTGACGTTCTACTGTATCTGTAAAAGAGAGAGAGTGAAGCAACATTGTGGCAAAGAGAGAAGGAAGAGAGCTTATCAACTAAAGGAGGAGAGTTAATAGGACGAAATGCCTTTGATTCCACCCGATCTAACAGTTGTACAGAAGAAGAGCCACCCCAGATGTGAGAGCAGTACGCCAAGTTAGGACGCGTGAATCCCTTATAAACTTGAAGCAACTGCTCAGGAGTGAAATAGCTACGGCATCTGCACAGCATTCCCAACTTTCGGGAGGCAGCTTTAGCAATGCTGTGGATGTGTGGCTTCCATGACATATGAGAGGAAATGGTGAGGCCTAGCATATTTATTTTAGAAATTGGCAGAATGATTGCATTGTGAAATGTGATTAGTGGGAGATCATCTAATTTGAAAAGTGTAACTGGTAAATACTGTGTTCTATTATTATTGAATTTAATCAATTTTCTACCTCCCCATTCGGAGATGCTGCACAGATCCGCATTGATATATGTAATGATATCAGCTCTAGAAACAGATCTAGTTTGAGAATTAGGGGGAAGGGAAAATGTGAAGAAGAATGAAGAGTAGAATCATCAGCGTTAGGATGGATAGAATTAGTCGTATTGTGATGTCAATCATTGATAAAAAGAAGGAAGAGAGTAGGTAAAAGAACAGAACCCTGTGGGGCACCACTATTGGTAGAGAAAGAGCGAGAGATCGATCCCTCGACAACAACTGCCATGGATCGGTTCTCAAAGAAGCTAAAAATTAGAGAACAAAGTGGGGGAGAGAAACGATAAGAGGGAAGTTTAGAAAGCAAAGACTTGTGCCATACCCTGTCAAATGTTTTGGAGATGTCGTGGGCCATGACGAAAGTTTCCCCATTAACCCTAAGAGAGGATGACCAAAGATGGGTGCAGTAGGAGAGCAGATCCTTAGTAGATCTCGCCTGACAAAAGCCATACTGGTGATCCAACAAAAGAGAATGGCATTCAAGATGACGGAGAAAATGAGAGTTTAAGATAGTTTTGAAAATCTTAGGGAGGGTTTGGAATGGTCACCCTTCTTTGGGATGGGCTGAACCAAGGCATGTTTCCAAGAAGAAGAAAAAGTTTGGGTTTTGAGGCAAAGGCAAAAGAGACGAGTAAGCACAGGGTCCAGAATTTCAGCACACTCCCACAACTCGAGGGGATATTCTGTTCGGTCCATGAGCCTTACTCACATCCAACCTGGATAACACACCAGCAACCCTACAAGTGGAGATTACAGTACAGTATTACCCCGCTTTACGCGGTTTCACTTTCCGCGATTTCTCATTTACGCGGTGCCTCGCCAGAACCGAACTTTCACTTTCCGCAGTGCAGCTACTCATATACGCGGGAAGCGGCGCGGGCAGGATGCACACAAGGTCGCCCAGTCATCAAAACATTACCGAGTTCTTCACCCGCCACCCACCACAGCCGGCCTAAGTCAGTGATAGTGATAGTGAGGATATGGACTTATATAGACTTTGAGGGGTTTGACAAAGAGGCCCTGCAAGCCTCTGTGGTGGATAGTGATACAATTGATACAAGTGATACAGGTGAGGGCCAATAATCTGCCCTCTGCCTCGGAACCAACCCCCCATCCCTGTGTGCCCAGCCATCTTTTCTACTAATGTAAGTGTTAAAAAAACTAATATTATTGATATTTCTCTTAATTATTAATTGTGTGTGCATACCATCATAAAATTAAGATGTAATTTTTACTACAACGTAGGTATTGTGTCTGAAAAAGTGGAGTTTGGGGGTCGGGCCAGTCTCTATTGGAACTAATCCCATATGTTCTGTTGTTCACTTTACTCGGTTTTCACTTTCCGCGGTACCCCATGGGTTCAATTGACCGCGTAAATCGGGGTACTACTGTATAGGAAAGTGCATAGGTTCAGTAGGAGGGATAGAGCGGGAGAGTTGGCTATAGAGTTCTCAGGTTGGAAGGGAGGAGGAAAAGAGGGAGTGCAAATGTTTTTGGTTAAGGACCAGAAGGATTTACTAGAAGAAAAGTTATTCAGGTCAGCGGTCTTTCTTTTTCTAAAATTCCGCTTGGCCCTACGAAGAATAACCTTGCAACGATTCCTAGCAGTAATGAAAGAGGAGTGGGTAATAGGAGGAGGAGATACAGTAATATCCCCGTTAGCCGGAATCCCTCAAACCCGGAACTTTTTGATAGCCGGAATTTAAATTTTCCGAGGGACACAATTTCCCGAAGATTCTGAGAAAATTTTCCCGATACCCTGAAGATTCCGGGGATGGGATACTTTTTTCTGGTTCCCAGAAAATTCTGGGGACGAGGGATTTTTTTCAGGGTTCGAGAGATGATGTAATGGGCAATTTCTGGAACTTGTAAGAAAATTTTTCCTCTACCCGGAAAATTCTGGGGATGAGGGATTTTTCTGGCTTTGAGAGAGTCATCTCATTACCCGGAAATCTCTCATCCCGGAAGTGCTCTGCATCAATTGTTCCGGCTAACAGATGTATCACTGTAGTTTCATAACTTGATACACCCTATCTCTCTCCCTACATGCAAGAGAACAGGAGTGATCAAACCTTGATTGTAAAGTGAAAGTTTTGGTAGAAGATGGCATAAAGGCACTCATACCACCCTGTATAACCTCAGCCATGCTGTCAGCACATACCGAGGCATCCTGAGTGGAAAAGCAACATTCATCCCAAGGAAAGTCGGAGAAAAATTCTCGCAAAGATTGCCAGTTTGCCCTCCGATAGTGTCATAGTTGGCATTTAGAGGGGGGTGGGGGAGGTGGTTGTGCCCAGTTTGATTTAATAGAAATAAGATTGTGATCAGAAGACCCTAAGGGAGCAGAAATGAGTATGAATAGTGTGAGGAGTTAGAGGTAAAACAAAGATCAAGAATGTTAGTAAGTTGATCATGTTGATCTGGAACACATGTAGGGTGTTTAATTATTTGTTCCAGATCATTAGGTAAGGAAAAAGAGAGTGCCTCAGCTCCACCTGGGTCATCCTTTGCAGAGCCAAGCCACTGTCTGTGATGTACATTGAAATCCCCTAGGTAGAGGATCTCGGTGTTGGGGTGTGTGGATGGCAACGACTCATGGCAAGAAGTGAGATAGTCAAAGAGTTCCAAATAGTTTGTAGAGTTGGGAGAACAGTATAGAAAACAAGGAAAAATAGTCATAGTTGGTAGAGATATTTTGAGCCAGATGACATCATCAAGAGAAGATTCAAGATCTGTGAGTCGAGCTATAGGTGTACGTGTTGCCATAGGTGCATACACCTCCCTTAGAACAGAAAGAGGTAAAAAGGTTGTAGTTGGAGACTTGAAAAGGTTTGGGTGAAGCTGCTTTGGTCAGTTTAAGTCCAGATAGTAGTAAGAGGTCGGGGGAAGAGGTTAATAGATGGTGCTCCACAGAAGAAAAATTGGATCTCAGGCCGCGAATGTTGGAAAAATGAAGTGTAAAAAAAGCTGTTGTTATTATGATGACTATGCTGTACTTTTATAACTAAATGCGAGAAGGCTTTATCTGGCAAACCCAACCCTAAGGTCTAATGATCTTGCCCAAACTTATCCTATCCAAACCAAACCAAATCACATCTACACAGATTGAGAGAGAGAGGGGGGAATGGGCTATGAGGCGAGCAGGCTATGGGGTGAAACAACTGGATACCATTTGATTATACAGTACGACCATATAAATATTTAAATAATATTGAGAATACAGTATTTTAATACAGTATTTTAATAATGTTTTTTTCATGTTTTAGGTTGCAACAAGCTCCCTTGAAAGTTCTTTACTCAAGTACAGTGCTAAGGAATACATGTTCCGTGCAGCTCTCTGTCATATGTGTATTGATCTAACTAATGCTAAGATTGCAGTGGTAAAGTACGAGGAAATGTACCCAGCGTTCCAAGACTCACGAGAATGCAAGCTTATCAAGGTAAGTTTATGCAGTCCCACCTTGATTGATTTAAGGTAGTGGGAATAAGGGATTGAATTAAATGCAAAAAGTATTTTGTATGAGGTTAAATAAAAAAACATTTACATTATATATTGTATATTCAAAGCATGAATACCTATTTTCTTGACAAATTACTGTATTTCTGGGAGGTAGACTTTGATGGCTTGGGCATGTGGAGAGAAAGGAGACCAATAGGGTCGAGAGATGCAAGAGTAAATGTGAAGGGAAGGAGAGCTATGGGCAGGCAAAGAATGACATGGAGAGAGATTGTAAGACATTCCATGGAAAATGACTAAAATGTTTTTATGATGATGACATTTGTATGAAAGGAAATTTTTTAATGTGATGTATTAGACATAGCTGAAAAGTTATGAAAATTATTTTAAAATACAGTATGGGTGAAAAGATTTGGGTGATTAAATACAGTACAGTGATTTTGCAAGAGAAAACCTTTGGTGAATGAGAGTACAGTAATGACATGAGATATACTTTAACAACTACAATACTTGCATTGATAGCTTTGTCCGGTATTTTCCCTGACCTAATCCAGTGCCTAGAGCAGGGGTTCCTACCCCTTTTCAATCTGAGGAGGATTTATAAAGTTATGTCCTAAATCTTGAACTGGTGCTTGTGAGCATGATTTTAAAATTTTTAAGCTTTGTAGAAGACCTCTGCCAGACTATCTGGGAGCACAGTAGTACTCCTGAGCTACGGGTTGAGAACTCTTGACCTAGAGGGTTGTATTTCCAGGTCACATTAACCAAATGATTGTGGTCGATATGAAAATTTTTTCCTTATCAATTTTGTTATATCTTGCACTTATGGGTCTCATTCTGCATCAACTTCCAGTGATTTTTTTTTCATCTTCATGGAGAGATATTTTGATATGTTTTAAACTGATAGAATATTCATCCTTTCAGTCTCTTATGAACCATCTTGAGGAACAAAACGTGGATGCATTCACAGACACAGTAAAGGATTATGACTCAATTTCACGACTTGACCAGTGGTACACCACAATGCTACTAAGGATCAAGAAATCAATCAACCCAGAGGACATTTGTTAAGGTGCTTAAAAAAGAAAATTGAAGAAAAGGCACTGACAATGGAGTACTAAAAAGGAAAGCAATAACTAGGATGGTAGTACTGTGGCACTATTGATGTAGATACGAAAATAATGTTCTGTGGGTGAGTGTAAGTAGGATACCGTACCTTCTGGCATAAGATAATATGCAGCTCAGCTTGATTGATTTTACAAATCCGGATGGATGTATTACTATACAGCGCAGTTGTGGTGATTATTTATTTAGAAGTAGTGAATGATAATATTTTAGTATCAACAGTTTGTAACTTATGGTCATAGTATGGGTGTTGTTCAAAGAATGAGAACTAGATTCTCGTTCTCAATCTCTATCACGATTCTCATACAATATGAATGTGTTTCCGGTATATGTAATAACTGTTTAATCTAGGTCTGAGCAAATGAACATTACATATACATATTTAAAATTTATTCACCCAGCTACTGTTGAAAAATGGTGAGGTAAGTTGCCATTATGGTTTGATGTGTATGATCGTGGAATATAAAATAGCAAAGCATACTTACGTATTGTTATTTAAAGGATTGCTATTTATTTCAGTTTGAAATTTTGTGCTGCAGGTGATGGTAATATAGTAACATCATCCTAGTTGGGTATTTTGTACCCAGAACTTTCCCATCGTCTATGTGCTTGGTTAGTATGCCAAATCCTTGAAACTTTCTTTGTAAGTAACAAGAACCTCTGATCCTAAGCTTAATGAAGATTAGTTGTTAGGAAAGATATTACAAGATTTGCTGATAAAAAATGCTGACATTGCCATTACGTATATATAATATCGGGGCTACTGAAGTAAGAAGTGGGAGCAGATAAATGCCTTTCAGGAATTGTATGAAGCTATGATCACCTAAATTAAGGGAGGAAAAATTATAATTTTACCCAAAAAGGAGTTTCATTTCTGTTACGAAGCTAGTGCAGTGGTCTGTCAGTTGCATTAGTCCTAAAAGTATGGAAACTTCAATTGATGATTGATATTTTACAAATAGCCTTTTACACTGCAGTATTGTATATTTTTGCAATGCATTATGTGTTCAATAGTACCACCATTAACACTCACCTGATACTTTAAAGTGCAAGTTGATTTTATGTGTAATGCAAAGGAATTTTTGTGTAGAATTTTAATGAGTATCAGAAAAATTGATACAGTACTTGAGTTTTCATAACCAAAAATTATGACTACCAGGAAGCTTCTTATTTTGAAGATTAGTACAATTACATTTTTTTGGGGGTGTGAATATTTTATATGCAAGGAGAGTATATTACAAAAGGTCTAAATAAAATGTCCTTGTTTTATTTACAGTACTGTACATGTCACAGCAACATTCAGTCCAAATGTCCATGTATTTGAAAAACAATAATTTTTATGTTATTCATAGTTCCTTGTGAGAGCTGTGCAGTATATGTTTACAGAAGAAATATCTGTATTCAGAGAGGCCTGACATTCCTGTTTAGTGAGAAGAAATTTTTATTTCAGTTTTACGTGTGAGTTATAATGGCAAATTAAATATTGAACGTGGGTGTGTAAGTAAGCATAATTTATATTTCATAATTTTTTTTCCATATCATTGGAATTCCATTACCTTAGGTAGTTGCTGTTAACCCTTAGGCCCCAGGTGACGTTCCAGAACGTCCGACCAGCGCGCCCCAGGTGACGTTCCAGAACATCTGCCTATTCCCGCCACTATTTTTATTTATTTATTTAATTAATTAATTTATTTTTTTAAAGTTGATTTTTCTCGATTTATCCGGGGGGGGGGGTTTACTGCCAGCAGCACCCTAACCCGGGGCTTAAGGGTTAAAGACATAAACTAGGGAAGTACTGTAATTAAAAAAAATTTGTGCAAGGGATTCTTGGACTGTTGAGTTTCAATATATTAGAAGATTGGCAGAAAATACTATTGTTATGCTGATCATTACTGTGCAATTCCTAAAGTTACCAGTAATTAGGATCAAGTACAGTATAGACATGTGGACCAAATTTTAAAACATGACTTGGGACTAAAAAGGAACTTGAGTCTAGTTTGGGCAAATTTGGTACAGTATTTAGAAATTACTCCAAAGATTTGTTTATATTTCCAAGAGTTGCTCGATTCACTTGTACTTTACTGCTCAAGTACATTACAGGCAATTCCCAGGTTACGGAAGGTGTGTGTCCTTGAAAATTTGTCCGTAACGTGAAATTCCGTAAAGCGAAACCAATTTTCCCATTGACTTCCATTATATAATTAGAGATGTGTTCCCAAGGAAATATTTTGGGCAAAAAGATGTAATGCAAGCACATTTATGAATTAAAATAATTTTTTTTAACACACATTGATTATTTTATGATATAATATGATAATAAATATACAAAACACTTGAATATAACTTAACACAAACGATGTTGAGTGCTGCGTTAGGTGAGGTGATGAGGTAAGGTGGTGCAATCAGTTACTGGGAGGGAGACGGGGGGCACTACTGGCTCCTGCCTCGCCTTGTACAATATTGTAGCAACCACCAAGAAATCCACACACGATAAATTTTATAATTTCTGTGAATTTTTTCGAATAGCATTGAAAAAAATTAAATAAATAAACAATACCCAATTTCCGTAAGGGCAAATTTTTTGTCCTTGTTCCGAATTTATTGGTCGTCATAATTTACAAAATCTGTAAGAGTGAATTTCCGTAACCCGGGGGATGCCTGTAACTTAATCTAATCCATTGAGTATGATATCTTAACCTATTGAACTCAATTGCTTCATTTATTGATAATGATGTCTTGACTTTTTAAATGTGATGATCTATGCCCTTCAGTACAATGGCACTGTACTGAGGGAGTTAAGTCTGTCAGGGAAGGCTGAACACTATAGTATTCAGTGTGGAGTTGACCGAGTGAGCTTTCCGGTGATCTCATCAATCATACTTTCTTGTTGATGCAAAAATGTTTTGTTGGCCTTAAATCCCTTGAAATTTTTAATCAGCACAGATTTTGCAATATCAACTTGATTGTATTGCTACTGACTGGTATAATTAAACCAACTAACCTAACCTAAATTGTAACTGAACTAAACCAAACCAAACCTAGATTTACCTAGCTCCAAACTCAGCCACAAGTCCTAGCTAGAAATATTAAAAGTAAAGTTATTATTAAGAAAGAGGGACATCTTCACTATTAACATCATCATAACTCAACAAACCAGACTTACCCAATCGTAATAGGAATGTATGTTTATTGTGAAAATCCACTGAATTGACTGAAAAAACAGTAGAGGAGCATATTGTATATGGTATTTATTATACCAGTGGTTCTCAACCTTGTTTGCCCCATGCACCCCTTTCACCATATGTCAGAATGTCATTCCCCCTCCTTTCCAAGATTGTCTGCCTCAAAAAGTGCATTCCAAATAATATGCATATAATACTGAAAATCCTTTATTTTTCCATATTAGTATCAGTTCCCCCTGAAAACCTGAGGGGGGAAATTCCCCCTGGTTGAGAACCCCTGTATTATACTGTACTGTATCTTCCAGCATCATTGTGGTGTAGATTAATTTCGTCTTTTTCTCTTCTATTTTTAATTTCTTTTTTACCTTACCCCCAGCATCTATTGTAGGTCGGTGACCTGTGCCCAAGTGGGCTATTCCCCGAAAAAAAAAGAAGAAAAAAGAATAGGGTCAGCACAAGTTAGAGCATTTTTTTTTAACATGAATTGGTATCAAATAATGATATTAATTTCTGATGTTAAGGACCTTGTTTGGGTGACTTGTCACCATCAAGTTTTCAAAAGTAGTGTTTAAAGGTGTCGATGGAGGGGGGTCTTATGTTGCCCACTTCAAGAGGTTACAGAACCAATAGTCTCCCTTTGGATCATGATGCAGAAATGGTGATTCTCCTTTATGAATTTATGGGTCTCCAGTGTGAGATGATACCATACCATTATCAAGCTTTGCAAATCTAAACATATCTGAGAGAGAACTACTATGATCTGCTGGATTTATGCCTGATTCTTGGAGGAACCACAAAAAAGGAAAAAGTAAAGATCTGATTGTGGGGCATCTTTCATGTATGTTGGATGACTAAGGCCATTTGCATTGAAAGTCATGATCAAATTTCCTTCACAGCAGCAAGTTGAAAGGAAAACTGAAATCTGCTTGTTTGTCATCCTCTTGTATGTCAGCCTATGGACCAAGGCAATGCTCATGCATCAGGGCCCTGCTGAACAATGAGTTTTCTATAGTCTTCAGAATTAATCCCTTTGGCAGTGTATCTTCAAGACCCGAATGCCATCAAGGAACGTTTGGTATTTGGTAGAAGACTTGGTGAGCCTTGCAATGTTTGATCCTTGTAGGTGTCCTGACATAAATCATGCCATGGTGAAAACCAGAACCTGCTTTTGAAGGGAAAATAATTCAAAATAGCTGGCCCTTTGGGGTCTTTAGTTAAGGGCATTCCAAAGGAACATTGTTACTCTGCTGTTAATAAATTGGGAGCAGATGGAATCCTTTTCCAAGGGTTTGTTCCAGTGGACCTTTGATACTGTGCCTGATTTGCAAAGAGTTCACAGATTTTGTTTTGATTGATCATCAATTGTCTGGAGAGGGGCTTTTCATCCAAGCTTATAAATAGACTTTTTCAGGAGGAGCAGCTGTAACAGTTCATTGTATACAGAATACTGTTGAGCAGAGGATAAAAAATACCATACTCCTGTAAGAAAATTTTAAGCTAAAAGTAAGTTCTTTGAAATATTTGATGAATTTTCCATCTCTATTTTCCTCTTGTGGAACTTGGGTACCATTTCAAGTGTATAAACTCCATTTTCTTTGTTACAAAAGTCATATTGGACATTTTCCTTGAATAGCCTTCCTAAAGATTGTTTTAATATGAGTTTAAAGGGTTACACTTACACCACCCCTAAATCAAATCTGAATTGCTTGAAACACTGTTTTTATTGGGCAAATTTAAAATAGCCATGTACGGTACTGTATTATGTCCTATGATATCCTGATCCGAACATATTTTGGAGTATACTACTAGGTAATGTAAGTTTGGTTTGGTTGCTATGAATTCAGATATTAGGTAAAATTGTCAATTTTTTCCCAGTCTTAAGGATATTATTGGCACATTAACTGCTCGTGTCATGGTTTCAAAACTTTAAACTTTTTGTTTTTGTATCATCACTTTCTTCACACAAAGTACTAGGTTGTACTTTATAAGAAGTACCAGGAAAGATTCTTATTCTTCTGTGAAGAATTGCCACATCAGGAGTCACCATTTTTGCCAAAACTAACTCTGCACTGTACAGTATTGGCTGTTGCTCTATCAAAATATTTGAACGTTTATGTGATATCTGACTTAAACCTGACATTGAAATCTAGACTTGAGCTGCATTTGATAATATAATCAAGCCTTTGTGATTTGGATTCGATATGAACCTTGCTCTTGTACTCGATTCCATCCCAAGCCAGACTTTGGATAGGATCCAGAGTTGTGTTTTAGAATTTAGGTCTTGATTCATTTATTTATATTGAAACATTAAGGTCATCATAATTTAATACATGTTTCCCATAGTAAAGTTTTTAAGCAACATTTACTTTTTCCTTCCACATTTTAAATAGATTTTCTCAACGAAAATTTTTTTTTTTTTATAAATTTGTGGTTTTCATAAAAAATTAAGGTTAACTTAGAAAGTTAAAGTCAGTACTGTATTAGATAGAATGTACTGTCACTCACTAAAGTCCAGAGTTACACACCTGTTTGAAAATGTACCAAGTCCTGTGAAGCTATTGCAGCTCAAACCAGAGTGCAACCAGACTACTGCCGTTCAGATTTCCCAGGTTTGTAATGATACTTTACACTGTGACAGTAAATCATTTTTTATTTTTAAAACTGTTTTGTGTTTTTAAAAAATTGCTCTTTTCAAAGAAATGTAGATTTTAAAATTTATCTAGTTTTAAGTACAGTATACCCCCAAGTAAATGAAATAGATGCTGATTGTGATAATTTATCTGCCTCATAATTTGTTTTCTAAAGAATTGTATCTTTACAAATAGTTTTCATTGGTTAGTTTAAAAAAATATTTGCTTACAAGCTATGAATGAGATACAGTACCACATATCCTTGTCCATGTCTAAGACATATTTTGTTTTTTCTACAATATTCAAGAATAAGACTTAGTACAGTACTGTTGTACCTTTGAAAAATGTCAAAACTGACAGGCACCAACAATCACAAGGCTGAAACCCATTTTATGTAGTTGTGGTGATGATTGTTTTGTTGAATACTTTAATGTTATCTGCATGCCTGTTACTTAGAAATTTTTTATTAAATCATATGCACAAT